TGGCTTCTGTGGCCAAGCACAGGCTCCAGGGCACGTGAGCGTCAGCAGCTGTGGAACAGGGCACAGCCGCTCCACAGCATGCAGGGTCTCCCCAGGCCAGGAGCAGCATTCGTGTTCCCTGCACTGCAAGGCCCGTTCCCAACCACTAGACCCCCAGAGAAACCCCAGAACAGCATCTTTTTATCTCTTCCCTCAGGAAAATAAGCTCCCCTGTGAGCATTCATCTCACAAGCTTATTTCATCCACCTGTTTCTCTGTTTTCTACAAAGTACCTTGGCTCCACCCTGAACTGGTGCCAAGGAAACTCCTCACATGCAACTTCTGAAGGACCTTGAAATACTAATCCTCAGGCTTCAGGGGCGTATCCGTGAGGCACTGGGTACATCCAGTGCACTGGATTCAGATTCCAACACCAAGGACTTGAGTCCTCCCTCTTTCTAGGCTTGTCCTGGGGGTCAAGTGACAGAATGGAGTAGAAACACACCGCACATCAAGAGGCACGTCACAAGTCTCAGACATTATTAACGCAAGTGGTGACACTGGGCAGGTATTCTAAACATCACTGATAGTTGCTTTCTTTTCCCAGGCAGGTCTACTTGAAAGGAAAATATAACTTAAATGAATCATGCAAAGATATTGATACAACTAAATTTGTTGCAAGCTGCTGAAGTTTTAAACTTTTCTATACAACCCTGAAATGCTGTTAATTTAGTTGCCTTGCTGCCCGACTGACAGAGCATTCTGGGCCTCTCCAGGGCCCTGCACACAGACAGCAACTCTGGCCCCAAACAGATGAGACTGGTCTTGGTCTTGATGCTTTGTGTGGTCAGCAAACCAAGGCAGGTTAACTGGGTAAGAAAATGGATGGATCAGCAAGTGAAGCTTGCTTTTAATCTAAAGGATCCTTCAAATAAATTCCTATAATCTATAATCAAAACATGAAGCCCTGACTTCTGAGTAGGGGTTACAGCAAGGAAAAACAATGAACATATTTAATAATTTTAGTATTATTTTTGAATCTAATAAATTAATTCAAACTGAATTTAGAAAAGGCAGAGGAATCAGAGATCAAATTGCCAACATCCCTTGGATCATCAAAAAAGAAAAACTTTTGCTTTACTGACTATGCCAAAGCTTTTGACTATGTGGATCACAATAAACTGTGGAAAATTCTTCAAGAGATGGGAATACCAGTCCACCTTACCTGCCTCCTGAGAAATCTGTATGCAGGTCAAGAAGCAACAGTTAGAACTGGACATGGAACAACAGACTGGTTCCAAATTGGGAAAGGAGTGCGTCAAGGCTGCATATTGTCACCCTGCTTATTTAACTTATATGCAGAATACATCATGCAAAATGTCAGGCTGGAAGAAGCACAAGCTGGAATCAAGATTGCCAGGAGAAATATCAATAACCTCAGATATGCAGATGACACCACCCTTATGGTAGAAAGTGAAGAGAAACTGAAGAGCCTCTTGATGAAAGTGAAAGAGGAGAGTGAAAAAGCTGGCTTAAAACTCAACATTCAGAAAACTAAGATCATGGCATCCAGCCCCATCACTTCACAGCAAATAGATGGGGAAACAATGGAAACAGTGACAGACTTCATTTTCTTGGGCTCCAAAATCACCACAGATGGTGACTGCGGCCATGAAGTTAAAAGATGCTTGCTCCTTGGAAGAGAAGCTATGACCAACCTAGACAGCATATTAAGAAACAGAGACATTACTTTGCCGACAAAGGTCAATCTAGTCAAAGCTATGGTTTTTCCAGTAGTCATGTATGGATGTGAGAGCTGGACTATAAAGAAAGCTGAGTGCTGAAGAATTGATGCTTTTGAACTGTGGTGTTGGAGAAGACTCTTGAGAGTCCCTTGGACTGCAAGGAGATCCAACCAGTCCATCCTAAAGGAAATCAGTCCTGAACATTCATTGGAAGGACTGATGCTGAAGCTGAAACTACAATATTTTGGCCACCTGATGCAAAGAACTGACTCTTTGGAAAAGACCCTGATGCTGGGAAAGATTGAAGGCAGGAGGAGAAGGGGGTGACAGAGGATGAGATGGTTGGATGGCATCACCGACTCAATGGACATGAGTTTAAGTAAGCTCCAGGAATTGGTGATGGACAGGAAAGCCTGGCATACTGCAGTCCATGGGGTCTCAAAGAGTTTGACATGGCTGAGTGACTGAACTGAACTGAATAAATTAATTAATTACACTTGGATTGAATAAATAAATTAATTACATTTGGACAGGGCAACAGTTGCTTTTTAAATTGGTAGAATCTACTTTGATTGATGAAACTATGATTAGGTTTAAAGGTATTCTTCAACACTTAGAGCTTTTCATTTTAAATTCTTTTTTGTTTAGAATACCATATAGAACTTTAAGTAAAAAAAAAAAAAAGATTTTACCCCACTGTTGCCCATCTTGGTACAAGTTCAGTTATTGATCACAATATGTTACCTTACCTTGTTCCATAAAATAAAAATCTAAATCTTTAAGTAAGCTTTGCAATCAGCCTTGTTGCTTTCTATGGGTGACTTCAGAGAGTGTTCTGGCCTAGCTCTGTATGGCTCTTGGCATAGAAGTGCCTCTGGCCCAGAGATTTCTTGCAGGAAATATAATCTGTTTTCAAGTTCAATTGGAAATTTTTTTTCACAATTTATTAGCTAATAACGATGAGTTAGATCAGAAATTCCCTCCTATTATTCTCTGTGTCTGTCTCATGCAGTAGTAGAGCCAGCATCTGGCTAGTGAGCACCTGAGACATGGTTGGTTCCATCCAGGAACTGAACTTCTAAATGTAAGCAGCCACCTGCAGCCACTGGAAACTGTGTTGGGGCACAGCTGTCAGCTCTGTCATCACAAGGGATCCGAGCCTCAGAAATCTGGCAGGGGCCTCATTTTCCAACAGGACAGTGGAGAGCCTAAGATGTTTTTTAACAAGAGTCCCCTTTTATATCCACAATTATCAAGGATCTGTACACAGAAGTGGTTGTACTTTGAGCACACATTGATTGAGAAAATATACAAAATAAAAAAAGCGAATAAAACAATGTCTTTTTTGGGTTTTCAGTAAATGTGATCATTATTCATGCCAGCGGCATGGCTGTGCTCCTGAGATCAGGCATGTGTAAGGTGCGTTTTCTGTTCCCCAGGTGGACAGGGCTTGTGCTCAAATGGATTCGAGGAACCCAGGGAGTAACTCTGTGCTCACAGGCTAGAAAGCATCCTTCAAGAACTGAAAGATGTATACATTAAAGAGGAATTGAAAGAGAAAAACAGCAAGGAGAAAACTGCATTAGATGTGGGGACACCTTGTAGTCAGTTAAGCTCCACAGGGTGGGGGTGTTTTCTGTGCTCTGGGGTGCGGACGCTCTCCTTCATCACCCCTCATCATTCAGCCTCAGATCTTAAACTCCCGCTATTCAGGGATCTTTCCTTCAGGAAAACAGAGTTTATCTTTGGAGCCCCTTTAAACCTGGAAAGTTAAAAACTAGAGCCCCTCAGTGGTTCGCATTGGGCGTCAGGGAACAGCTTTGTTTAAACACTGACACCCTCCTGTGGCCGCAGAAACAGATGGATCCCCTTCCTGATATTGCTGAGCCCCTCCTCCCCTCAGCCCAGTTCTGCAGGAGGTGTCAGCTTCACAAGCCACAAGCAAAGGCTGCAGGAGGGCTGCTGTGTCCTGGCCGCTGCCCACCTCCCTCTCCCGAAACCCACAGCGTAAGTGAAAACGTGCTTGTTCCTGTTGCAGAAACCGCAGCCACCGCCCCAGAGCCTCTGGTTCTGCAGCTCTGGGTTGTCTGCCGCCTGGCAGGGAGGATATTACATAATCATCTCTGCTGTAATTAAATATGAACTCCACAGCATGGATCCAGAGGAAAACATATTTGTGATTTTTAACCTGTTTTCCAGGGTGGTTCTGCTCCCCAGAGACATGGAGGACAAAAGAGAAGCATTCCTTTACTGACGAAGCAAACCCCGAGTTACTGAAAAGAAGATTAAATGCCGAACCCATACATTATGAGTTAGCTTCAAGTAATGTGCTCAAGGGCTTCCCTTGTGGCTCAGCTGATAAAGAATCTGACTGCAACGTGGGAGATCTGGGTTCGATCCCTGGGTTGGGAAGATCCCCTGGAGAAGGGAAAGGCTGCCCACTCCAGTATTCTGGCCTGGAGGATTTCATGGACTAAGTCCATGGGGTCACAAACAGTTGGACAAGACTGAGCGACTTTTACTTTTAAATGTGCTCAGACACTGATGAACTCCATATCACCAGTTCTTAGAATAAGTATTTCTAGATATTGCTCTAGACGGCATTAAAAGTGATCCCCCAAGTACTAAACCTTGATGTTCTGAATAAATGTGTTGTTCTTCAGAACTGCCACATACACCTGGCCGCAGAAGGTAACTGCAGTGTAGGCTTTTTGCTCCATCCTGAATGATCAATGGTGTTTCACCAAGTAGTTCATGAAACCAGGCCATTCCAGGAGCAGCACGGCCCTGCTAACACCTGTGTGGCCTTGCTTCTTGTTGTATCTGTGCAGTTGCTAAGTCGTGTCTGACTCTTTGTGACCCCCATGGACTGTAGCCTGCCAGGCTCCTCTGTCTATGGGATTCTCCAGGCAAGGATACTGGAGTGGGTTGCTATTTCCTTCTTCAGGGGATCTTCCCAACTCAGGTCTCGAAGCTGGGTCTCCTGCACTAGCAGACAGGTTCTTTACCACCGAGCCACCGTGGACGCCCCTGTGGCCTTGCTGGCATGGTTAATGAGCGCAAACAAAGCACGGGCCATTGACTGAAAATAGGCATTACTTTTTCTGTTTGGGAGTGGGGAGCCCATGAACAAATCCGAGACTGTGCACTGAGTTCTAGCTTCATGTTTAAAAACAAAATCAAAGGGTAGCTCTTGCAAGTGAGGCCACAGAGAGACTGGTTCTCGACCCAGCACCCCTGCAGGGAGGGCTGTGCTCCTGGTGCACTGACATTTACCTGAATGAGGTTGGCAGCTGGGTTCCGTCTTTTCTCAAAGTGTTTCTGGCGGTGCTGTTCTTGTACTTTTAATGCAAAACCTGAGCCAAGAATGCCCTGTGACAAAATACAGAAATAGTGCTTAAAAAACTTCCCCCCAAAAGCATCATTAAATAAGACAAATATTAAAAAATCACAACCCTTTAAAAAGAGTCTGAGAAAAGACAAACAGTATGCAACCTATCCATCATCTCACTACTTATTAAACAAACATGATTTCCTCTATTATTATGCCACTGGCCAATGGCAAGTGGTTGGACAAGAAACAGGATGATGTCTGTCCTTCAGGAAATCACCAGGTGCTGCCCTCCAGTCTCTTAGGGTGTAGGAGGAGGCCCCACAATTCCAAATAAAAAAATACTTTTGCATGGCCTTCTCTGTGGCGTTTCTTTACACCTAAGTTAGAGAAAACAGGCCTATCCAGTGACAGATGAGGGGGATTTAAAATCTGGAGCTGTTACTGTCTCGTGGATATGGACTAGGGAGCTATTTTAGCATGTTGATGGCAACTAGTACAGTTTATACTTTCCGTTCATGAAAGGGTGGGGGAATGATCTTATTAAATTTTAAGATCTGTTCATGATGCTATAATTCCACACCTACCAAAGGAAAGCAAGTAGGGAAGGACAGTTATTTAGATGAGACACACAGACACTCAGGTTTGGAGATGTTTCCATTTTGCCTATTTGTCCAGCAAAGATGAGAGCACGGGTCAATGCAAAAGCACATACTTATTCTCCCGAGTTTTTATTTTTTAAAGTGAATTAATTCACTCATTCATTAGTTTTTGTTTGCACTGGGTCTTCATTACTGTGAGGGCTTTCCCTACCTGTGGCAAGTGGGGGCTACTATCTAGTTGTGTTCTTGGTCTTCTCATTGTAGGCTCCTCTTGTGGAGCCTGGGCTCCAGGCACGTGGGCTTCAGTAGTTGTAGCTCTTGGGCTCGAGAGCACTGGCTCAGTAGCTGTGGCACACGGGCTTAGTTGCTCCTTGGCACCTGGGATCTTCCCAGATCAGGGATTGAACCCCTGTCTCCTGCACTGGCAGGCAGATTCTTCACCACCAAGGCACCAGGGAAGCCCCTCTCCTGGGTCTTAATCCTCAGAGTCTTAACACTCAGAGCATGCCTTGCCTTCTTGGTTCTGGCTCACCCATTAGGTCTGGGAGCTGGTAAAACTAGCTTGATCCTTCTGTGTTTATACTGACTTTTTGGCTGGTTTGCCTTTTTCTGCATATCGTCTCCATCTGCCAAAATCCTGCTCTCTTGATATGTCCCCTATTTTCAGCTGGCCTTGGTCTAAATTTGTGGAATCAAGATGCTTCATGTCAGCCTCAGGTTGAGCTTGGTTTCAGAGTTCACTCAGTCCAGTCTCTGGGCTGTTTCTCAGCCTCTACTTTATTGGTGTGGGAAGCAGAGCCCCTCCGCTTTCGAGTCTGGGATTTTACTTGCTAGCTATATATTATTAGTTTTTTATTAAACTTCAAGGACTCTAACCCTTAGGTTACAGCCAGGTATCTTATGAGCTGTAAGTAAGTTCCTTGCCATAGGTAAGGTACGGCTGTTTTTCTTTTCTTTATGTGTTTGAAGTCACTCAAAGATAGTAAGGGCTGTTGGAGGGGGTGGTGTGTCTCATCCTTGGGACCTGTTAGGTCTCAGTGGATGACAACTTGATGAGGATATTTTTGGGCTCTAGATAACCTTTAATCTTCCTCCTTATCTTGAGGTGGTTTAGTTGCTAAGTCATGTCTGAGTCTGGAGACCCCGTGGGATGTATAGCCTGCCAGGCTCCCCTGTCCATGGGGTTTTCCAGGCAAGAGTACTGGAGAATTCTACTTATCTTGAGATTCCACAATTCTGAGTACCTCTGTGATGACAACCAGGTAATAAATAACGCAGCTATGTTTAAATACAGTTATACGATGATACTATTGCTGTTAATGAGCAGTGACGGATTCCCTCATCAATCAGGACGCGAGGCTGTGCTGTGAAATTAGAAACGACGTCACAGGGTCTGTTTTCCATCGCTCTTTCTCAGCGACTGTCTCCTGCTGTCTGAGGTTTTCATCTCACGCAGGTTGTGACTGAACAAACTAAGCTTTATGAAAACCTGGTCTGTAGGATTTTATTCGTGGATTTAAACATCTCCCTCCATTTACAGGTTATAAAAATGGACTTCAGTTTCCAAATCCAAAGCAACTCTTAGTTATTCACAACTCCAAAATTTCCTTCTGCTCCTTAAGACCATTTAGGAAAGATTTATTTATTTTCCTTTTAATGTCATTTTTCATGAAGCTTAAACACATAAGAGACTATGGAACAGCAGAATTTATAGCATATATTTATATTATGTATTTATATTACATGCATAGATGTGTATAATCCACTCATAGGCAGCATAATTTAGTTTTTGTAGAAATTTAATTAACAGCAATGGCTACTATTTTTGAGCATTCATTATGTAAATATGAGGTTCAGAGTTAAATCCCTTTTGGAAAATGAAGACAGGCCCTGCATAACACGCATTGAGCACCTGCCAAACAAACTAAAATGTGGTGAAAATCAGGCTGGCATTGCTTAGAAACACACACTAGTAGATGGCAACGTGGGCTGCAGGCCTCTTGAGCCAGACTGTACATTACAGCAGTCCTGACACCAGCTCTGCTCATCGTCTGGTTACGGCTCCTGTCCAGCCCTCCTCCATCTCCCTCAGTCCTCAGCTCAGACACTGAAACACAAGTCTGTTAAAAATAAAGCCTGCTGTGTGAAATATAGCTAACGTGCCATCCCTTCAAATTGAGACTGGCAGAGACACATGCTCAGAAATTGAGTTTTGTCTTAATTCATTTCCTAAGGTGAGATAGACTTTGAGGTTTTAAGCTTTAGAAGTTCTCCATAAACATCAAATGGAAATAAGATGCCTTGGCAAATATTTAAAATATTTATCCCTTGTTATCTTCCAGGTTAAAAGAGCTGATTTGTACCCTGTACTTGGCAAACAGGTTAAAGATATTCTCAGCAAGAGAGAAGCGAGGGTCCGCAGGTGGAGACAGTCCGCCCAGGGCAGTGGCGACTTAGGCCACTTGTGCTTCTCGGCCGAGAATACTGGAGAAGTCTCCTTATCTTGAGGCCCTGGGATGGGGCCTCAAGCCTGTGTGCTGTGCAGGAGAATGCCTGTGTGGTGTACGAGAAAATCCTACTTCCAGGGAGGTGGTGGCCTGCAAGCCTGTGTGATGTGCAGGAGAATGCCTGTGTGGTGTACGAGAAAATCCTACTTCCAGGGAAAGACAGGAACAGCTCTTCTCTCTCTTGGCCCTTTCTTTCCTGGTTGGAAGGCAGGCCCACCATCCACTCTGACTTTCTTAGCAAAGTGCCCGTGTTCCCCTAATTTCAATCCGACAGCACTGCTGCCGGCAGGTACACTGGACATACTGGTGTTTCCAGCCACCTTTTTTACCCTTTCTTCTTTTATTAAAGGTAAACATGAACCATCTTTCATTCATTCAGTAAGAACTCAGCACCTAAGCTGCAGTGAAATTCTCCATGGTAAAGTCTACTCTGCTTGGCCCAGTGAGGGGATGCTATGGGTGAGTGAGATTTTGGTTTCCAACACTAATTGATTTAATCTGCATATAGAATCATAATCACATTATTGGGAAAGCTTCTCAAGAATGACTAATTAGTCTCTGTCCCTTAACCTAACAGCAGCACAACTGACTCTGCCATGACAGTCCAGGGTTTCAGGATGGAGGCGGGCAACCTGCTGGGTGGGGCGCAGGCAGGGCCTGGAGACGGCTGACCTTCCTGCGAACTGGCCCAGGTCTTTACACCTTTGAACACTTGTCTCTGCTCTCTTCTGACAGGCTCTCTTTTCCGTCCCTTGCTATTATCTCTTCCTGGTGTAGTGTCTGTTCTGCCAGCCTACTTTCACATCGCTGTTTATAATCCTCGAAGAGGTGTGAAACTACAGAATTCACCTTATCAGACTTTGCTCTAATTTAAAGAGGTAATGAAAGACCTTGATCTCTCCTGGGAAGGCAGCGGACACTGTTGCCCTGCGAGTGAGTCGCCCCGATGTGGCCCCTTGCTGTGTCTGTGATTCTTCGAGGGATCACATGGGCTGTTATACGTGTGGCCTCAGGATGAGTATTGAACCCAACAGCAGCAGGTCTTTGGCACCATTATTTTGGGAAAAAAAGCCCAAGACTGCATTTTGCTGTCTCTGAGGTGTTTTCTGGTAGGGAATCTGGTTGTCACGTGGGTGTCTGTTCGGCATGGCTGAGGTTGCCGGGTTCACGTGACTCTGGATGGACAGAGGCTTTCTGTCCTCATTTCCACTTTCTCTCAGCAGGAAACACCCACATATTGGGAACGTTTTCTTCGTGACAAATACTTGACTTATGTTACATCATTGGTCTTCAAAAACTTTCTCTGGATGCGATAACTATTCATACATGATGTTAATAAATGTACTCAGGGTCTGTTATGGGCTGACTTGCATCCAAAATTTAAAGGTTGGAGCCCTAATCCCCAGGACCTCAGGGCACGACCTTTTTGGAGAAAAGGTCTTTACACAGGTGATCAAGTTGCAGTGAGCTCATAGGGTGGGCCCTGACCCACTGTGGCTGGTGTCCTTTTTAGAGGAAACCTGGGCATGGACAGAGGGAGACAATGTGGAGACACAGGGCATAGATGGTGTCCATGAGGCCTGGACGCATCCCTCCTCTGGGTCCCTCGAAAGGAACCAGCCCTGCCAGCTCCTTGGTTTTCAACTTTCACCTCCAGAACCACGAGAAAGAAAGAAAATGAAGTTGCTCAGTCTTATCCGACTCCTTGTGACCCCATGGACTGTCGCCCACCAGGCTCCCCTGTCCATGGGATTTTCCAGGCAAGATTACTGGAGGGGATGGCCATTTCCTTCTCCAGGGGATCTTCCCGACCCAGGGATCGGACCCAGGTCTCCCGAATTGTAGGCAGACGCTTTACCATCTGAGCCACCAGGGAAGTCCCAGAACCATGAGACAATTGAGTTATGATAAGTCAAGCCAGATAGTCAGTCTGTCACAACACCTTGTTACAGCAGTCCTAGCAAACCAACACAATCACACTTGGGGAGAACGGGACCAAACCTGAATTCAAAGTGAGACCTGATACCCGAGCTCATGCATGGTCCCTGGGGACCCTTCTCTGACTTTGGGTGGTCTGGGGTGCAACCAGCCAGTCAGCCTGGAGCTGAGCACTGGCCGTGGGAAGGACAAAGGGTTCGGGCAGAGGTGGAGCCCCAGGAGCCTCAGGCTATGGTGCTGAAGGCCCCACCCCCTTGGCCCCTTGGAGGGGTGCCCTGGGGTCTCTGGGGCCGAGGCTGAGAGGTGAGCCTGCCTGTGTCTAGAGCAAGACGGAGGCTGTGGTTCCTCAAGTAGCACGGCGGCCGCGGCTCTAACACGCCTGTTTCTGGGCTCCTTTCCCCCCACGAGGGGTGGAGTGTGCAAAAGAGAGAGCTTGAGGATGGAGGCAAATTGTAATAAATATTTTCACGAACTGCCTTTGAAGACACAAGAGGATAAAACAACCAGAAAGACAGCCTTCATCCACTCAGGAGAAAATAATCAGAAGCTTAAGAGAAGATAAGTGTGCTCTTCATTCTGATACGGTACAGAAACTGGTGGTTAACAAAAATCAATGATGGCACAAACAATAAATCATCTGACACTTTAAAGACCCCTTAAATCCATGTGCTTCTCACTCAAGTGGATCCGAAGAGGTAAACACTTTACGTGGGCACATGAATCTCTTCGATAGCTCACACCTCGCACACTTAACTGGAGCCATCAGTTTAAGAGGAGGACAGCTTTAACTCTTCACACCTATTTTCAATGTATTAGGAGCATGTTGACTGAGAGGTTAAATGTCTCCAAGGGAAGACCATTTTTATAAATTATCCAACTAGCTATATGTAGAAAAGTAAACATTATATCAGAAAAATGATACCAGTAAACATACAGCTATGTTCCAGGGCATACTGTTTAAAGAAAGCTCATGCTAGTAAACCTCTACAATCCAATTGAAAGTGTTTAATTTTCGCAAAGATACTCACAGCAGGAAGTGCAAAAAAAGAAATGCCCAGGAGTGCGAAGCCTGCTGACAGCAGCCTTCCCAGCCACGTCAGGGGGGTTTTGTCTCCATAACCGATCGTGGTCAACGTTATCTAAAAACAAATAAACAGGACGTGCAGCTTAAGTACTTGAGAGGAAAGTCAGGACCCAAGAACAGTTTCCACTAAATCATTATTCAAGCAGTCTGGCTGGCACATTTTTATTACTGTGCTTTAATTTTCCATGACACATAACAGAACTTCTCTTTGCCTAAGGAAGGGAGTAACCTACATACTTGTTCCTCCCTTACAACACGATTTTCCATCTTTCCTAAGTGCATTCAAAGAAAGGCTAGATTAGTAAGTGGATTACCATCAGTGATACAGGAATGATAGCACCATGGCTTTAGGACTAGATCAGTACACAAAACAATAATTTATGTTAATTAAGTCTATCCACTCATTTCCTGAAGGCCTGGTGTGTGTAGGGTGTGTGTTTTGATTTGTAGTGGAACAAAAATGAGAGGTGCATAGCTCCTGTCCTGAGATATTTAGGGCATAAGAAGGGAAGTATGTCACACACAAATCATTAAAACACAAAATAGGGCAAGACAGGTATTATGCTGAAAGCACAAATAATCTGCTGCTCAAATTCAAAGAGATTAGTACCAGCTTGGGCGAGTTGCAGAAGCTTTGTTGGGAAGATGTCATCATGCCTAGGCTTTGAAGGAGGGATAATGTTTTGAGAGACAGAGATGATGGAGTGGCCCAGGGAGGGGATGCAGATGAGCAGCTGCATAGCAGTGGGATAAACAGGGTGGGTTTTGGAATGTGTGCTCAGCTGCACTGGCGCTAACCAGGGAGTGTCTGAGAAACGATCCCTGGGTCATGTCTCCCCGATGATAAGCTGCTCCAGGGGCTGCTGTGTGCCTTAGAACAGAGTCCTGGCTGTGCTTCAGGACAGACGAGGCAAGCCTGACCTGGGAGAATGAGGGGGTGATGGAATCGGAACAGTGGAAGTGAGATGGTGCGAGGTGGAGAGTAAAGAGACAAGCTGAAGAAGAGCAAGGGCAGCACATCCATAGATCATCCAGAAGGAAGGTGACGACGAAACCAACAGGATTCGAAAATCCCAAGTGGAAGATGTGGCCCCATAAATAGAAAGACGATAACAAGAAGGAGAGGGTTTGGGAGCAAAGATGATGAGTGACTTTCAATGACGGCTTTTCAAATATCAGTACGTGGCTGATCTAGACATTCCGTGTGTACGTGTGTGTGAGCTCAGTCATGCCCGACTCTTTGCAATCCCATGGACTGTAGCCCACCAGACTCCTCTGTCCATGGGATTTTCCAGGCAAGAATACTGGAGTGGGTTGCCGTGCTCTCCTCCAGGGGATCTTCCCGATCCAGGGATCAAACTCTTGTCTCTTATGTCTCCTGCATTGGCCGGTAGGTTCCTTACCACTAGCGCCACCTGGGAAGTCATGTTAGCAAGGAATTAAGAAGGAGAGCTTGAGTCTTAAGACTTGAGGTTGGCTTGAGATGTGGATTTTGGAATCAGGTGCTGAGTGACTGTGGAAGCTCTGTGAAGACATGAGCAAAGAGTGTGAAGAAGGGGTGCAGGACACCTCCTCAGGAAACCCACACATTTAAGGGGCAGAAGGAAAAGGAAAGCCAGAAGAGAACATTGTTTCAAAAGTAGGGGGACTAGGAGTGGGTTATGTAAATGGAGACTCAACGGAGAAGAGAGCTTCACAGAAGACCAGGTGAGCCCTGGTGTCGCAGGCTCGTGGAAAACAAGGAGAATGAGGACTGAGAAGAAAGGTAGACACAGGGACAGGGTCACAGCGGTTTCTAACAGCAGCAGTCTTGGCCATGTCACCTTCCCCAGCCTTGGAGGAGGGAAACCTGTTGAGAGGCAGAAATGGTAATGGAAGGGACACTGTGTGCTATAAACCCTCCAGAAGCATCCAGCTCAGCTGACCCCCGCCCCCCCCTTCCTAGACTCTCTTCTTACCTTACTTTCATGGTTTTCCCTTTATATTTTTGTTGTTGTTGCTGCTCAGGCATGTCCGACTCTTTGCAACTCTATGGACTGTAGCATGCCAGGGTTCCCTGTCCTTCACTATCTCCCAGAGTTTGCTCAAATTCATGTCCCTGAGTGGGAGATGCCATCCAACCACCTCATCCTCTGTCATTCCCTTCTCCTCCTGCCCTCAATTTTTCCCAGCATCAGGGTCTTTTCCAATGAGCCAGCTCTTCACATCAGATGCCCAAAGTAAAGGACCTTCAGTCCTTCCAATGAATATCCAGGATTGATTTCCTTTAGGAGTGACTGGTTTGGTTGCCTTGCAGTTCAAGGGACTCTCAAGAGTCTTCTCCAGCAACACAGTTCCAAAGCATCAATTCTTTGGCTCTCAGCCTTCTTTATGGTCCAAATTTCACATCCATACATGACTACTGGAAAAATCACAGCTTTGACTATATAGACCTTTGTTGGCAAGCGAAGTCTCTGCTTTTTAATATATTGTCTATTTGTCATAGTTTTACATCTTTGGTGGCTTCTTTTACGTGGCTCATCCTATACCAGTCGACCTTCGAATAGTAGATTCTTAAGGTTTGCCTCTGGATCTTATTCTCTTTTTTAAAAAATTCTATTCTTTAATTCTTCCTTTCTCTTCTATCTCCTCTTTTCTCTCTCTTGCCAGGTGATCTGAAATGTTCTCAGGACTTAAATGACATTTTTATGAGGAACACGCTGAGTTTCTACCCACAGGTCGGACCAGTCTTTTGCACTATGGATCCACACATCTGCAACTTATGCTTCTCTTTGGATTCTGCCCAGTCATTTAAACTGAATATATTTAAGACAGAACTTCTATTACCCCCAGCCTGCTGTGCCAATTACATCCCTTCCCAATCAAGAACACCACTGTCAGGAATTCCCTGAGGGCCCGGGTTCAATCCCTGCTTGGGGAGCTAAGATCTCACAAACCTCAGGTGTGGGCTGCTCAGTCAGAAGCCTCGAGCAACCCTTGCTGCTCCTGCCCCACAGGCCTCTCTCTGAACCCCTCAACAGGCTACGATGCTTCAATATTCCCAGCCCACTCCCTTCTCTCTGTCCTCATGGGCACCATGGCAGATCAGGCTCTGTAGCAGTCACGTTTAAACGGTACTTTTCTCAGTTTTATTAAGGGATGGTTGACGTGCATCACTGTTCAATGCGTATACTTGGTGGTTTGATTTACATTCACTGTGAAATGATGACCACAGCAGGGTTAGCGAACATCCATCACCCTGCGGAGATACTATGAAAGGGTAACACTTTTCTTTTTGTGATGAGAACTCTTAGGATTCACTCTCTTCGCTTTCCTGCATATCACACAGCAGTGTTAACTACAGTCACCTTGTGGTACTGACATCCCTGGGGTTGGTTTATCTTAAAACTGGAAGTTGGTACCTTTTGACCACCTTCCTCCACTCCACCTCCCATACCTGCTGTAACCATAAATCTCTTTCTGTTTTTTAAAATTTATTTATTTTTTAAATGAAGAATAATTGCTTTACAGAATTTTGCTGTTTTCTGTCAAACCTCAACATGACTCAGCCACAGGTATACATATATCCCCTTCCCTCTGAACCTCCCTCCCATCTCCCTCCCCATCCCACCCCTCTAGGTTGACACAGAGCCCCTGTTTGAGTTTCCTGAGCCATACAGCAAATTCCCGTTGGCTCTCTATTATACATATTCTAATGTAAGTTTCCATGTTATTCTTTCCATACATCACACCCTCTTCTCCCCTCTCCCCATGTTCACAAGTCTATTCTCCATGTCTGTTTCTCCATTGCTGCCCTGTAACTAAATTCTTCAGTACCATTTTTCTAGATTCTGTATGTATGCATTAGAATATGATACTTATCTTTCTCTTTCTGACTCACTTCACTGTGTATAACGGGTTCTAGGTTCATCTACCTCATCAGAACTGACTCAAGTGCATTCCTTTTTATGGCTGAGTAACATTCCATTCTGTATATGTACCACAACTTCTTTATCCATTCATCTGTCGATGGACATCTAGGTTGCTTCCATGTTCTAACTATTGTAAATAGTGCTGCAATGAACAATAGGATACATGTGTCTTTTTGGTTTCCTCAGGGTATATGCCTAGGAGTGGGATTGCTGGGTTATATGGTGGTTTTATTCTTAGTTTTTTAAGGAATCACCATACCATCTTCCATAGTGGCTGTATCAATATATATTCCCACCAACAGTACAAGAACATTCTCTTTTCTCCACATCCACTCCAGCATTTATTGTTTGTAGATTTTTTGATGATGGCCATTTTGACCAGTGTGAGGTGGTATCTCATTGTAGTTTTGATTTGCATTTCTCTAATAATGGATGATGATGAGCATCTTTTCATGTGTTTGTTAGCCATCTGTATGTCTTCTTTGGAGAAATGTCTGTTTAGATCTTTTCCCCACTTTTTAACTGGGTTGTTTGTTTTTCTGGTATTGAGTTGTATGAGTTGCTTGTATATTTTGGAAATTAATCCCTTGTCAGTTGTTTCATTTGCTATTATTTTCTCTCATTCTGACGGTTGTCTTTTCATTTTGCTAGTTCTATGAAAAATGCCATTTGTAATTTGATAGGGATCACATTGAATCTGTAGATTGCATTTGGTAGTATAGTCATTTCATAATATTGATTCTTCCTACCAAGTAACATGGATTATCTCTCCATCTGTTTATGTTGTCTTTGATTTCTTTCATCAGTGTCTTATAATTTTCTGTGTACAGTTCTTTTGTCCCCTTAGGAAAGTTTGTTCCTAGATATTTAATTCTTTTTGTTGCAACGGTGACTGGGATTGATTCCTTAATTGATGTTTCTGATTTTTCATTGTTAGTATGTAGAAATGCAAGTGATTTCTGTGTATTGATTTTGTATCCTGCAATTTTGCTAAATTCACCGATTAGCTTTAGTAATTTTCTGATACTATCTTTAGGGCTTTCTATGTACAGTATCATGTCATCTGCAAACAGTGACAGCTTTACTTCCTCTTTTCTGATCTGGATTACTTTTATTTATTTTTCTTCTCTGACTATTGTAGTTA